GTTCTTATGCCCCTTTTGTAAAATGCTTTAAATTATGTACAACCAGAGCCAACAACTGCCTGGAAAGTGAAAATGCATTATAAAGTTAAAAGCTCATTACTTGTTTTCTACATATTGTTTTATAAAGGCATACAGCTTCCTGAGAATGAAAGAGGGATTTATTTGCAGGACATAAACAGCTGTGGTAAGATGCCCACATTTTCTCAAAGACCAAAGATGAGGAGATTTATTATTTATCCTAATTTTACTAAAACTATCATCCTACCGTCTATCCATAATGTCATGTGTTGCTCTGATTAGACATCAATGCAGCTAGTCAAACCAGGTACCTTCCCTGTTTAACCAGGCCAGTCATTAAAGTCATCAGATGTACATAATTCCAGCCACTGTGATAATCTAAAAGAAAACCTTTCTTACAGAGTTTTATTAACCGTTTTGTTATCTTCATATTGATACACATATATAAAAATACATATACTTTTATTTCTATTAGAACTAAAGATAACATCACAATTTAATATCTCACTGTACTGTAAAGCATTTTTGGGTTCCTTTTCAGCACAAGCTTCCTCTGCTACTGCAAGAGTACAAGGTTAGATTTAAATGACTTTTACTGTAAAAAAAACAACAAAAAACAAAAAAAGTTTATTCTTAGATTGGTGCACATCTAAGAACATCCCAACATAAAACGCTGCCTCTTGTGGTCAAAGCTGAAATCACATTTCCAGGGGGTAATTACAAAAGGTACCTTTAACAGCGCCAAGTCAACACTCACAACCCCCAAAACCACAGAGAATAACGGGGCTGCACAGAGGCCACCAACAGCCTTCCCCAGGGGGAAACCATCAGACAAAATAAGTCCTAACACTTCAGTCTGTCTCACATCAATCTTTAACACATAACAACCGCACACTAGGTGGACAACACCCCTATCAATCACCATCGGGGTCTGAAATTAAAAGTAAAAAAAGCTTAAAATCACCCAGCAGCAGGTTTGGTAACGTTATCTGGGTTAGCATCTCGCCAAGGCTACCAGAGCTAGCGACAACTGCTGCCGAACAGTTAACAGCTTTAATGTAAAGTCACTCGGTTTAAAAAGTTACTCGGTTACCCATCTGTCCACGCCAGAGTGCCGCTGGGTTTCTGCGGACTGTTATACCAGCAAAGGAGCATTTTTCTTTCATAATTTGACATTTAACCGCTAGCTAATCCGAAACATACGTGGTGTTTTAACTACTCCGTAGAGCACCAACAATCCACCAGTTTTAGCCCAATATTAAATCCCTATAGGTACTCTGATCCAAGTTTATAGTTAATCTGAGTCGGTAATATATTCAGACAAATTCGGCCTGTTAATAGTCCAACTTTTATTTAAATGGTAACCAGTTTCTTTTTTTCTTATCCACGTCTCACTTTTCCAATTTGAAGCATTCAGCTGAGACACAGTTCCTTGCATTCCTGGCACTGTAGCACGCCGAATTGAAAACTAAACTTCAACGACTATGAAAATGTTTTGAGTCCTCTCATGCACTGGGTGTTACATTAAAAACGATACAAAAAATCATAAATTGCTGTAATTTTGCCTGGCGTTTGGCGTGACGTTGTCTGGTTGCTAGCAGCTAGCTTTAGCTCGTTCTGCAGGCACACCCTGCCTCTTTCTCCGGGATTAAAGCTACCATTCCCGCGAATATACCTCTTTCCTGTCCTGGAGACACTCCAACACCGCCAGGTTATTGTTCCAGGAGTGTTTGGGGCAAAGCCGGGTCAGGTCGTCTCTGCACACCGCCTCCTCAGCCAACTTCCAGCCGGTAGAGCGCCTCCGAGACAGCGAGGCCCCGGCGCCTTGGTTCCTCTCATCGACTCCAGGGTTCCCCGCCGCGGGCCCCGGACCTCCAACTGGGTTCTGCATTTTATCGACACCGGCAATAAGTTTGGAAATAGCTTTGTTTTGAGCTTGAATCGGATGTACAAACAAAAAGATGCACATCAAGAGCAGGAGCAGAGGAACACGTATGCAGTCCGCCATCTTCACAGAGCCAGTCAGCCTGCTGCTGCTTTCAGGAGCTGTCGGAAATATGGGCACTGAGGATAAAGTTCCAGACAGATTGTTTTCTTCTAGTGAATAGTTCATAAATATTTAATAAGTCCTCGTGTGTTCATGCTGTGAGTCATCCAGCCATGGAAATGTCTCTTCCTGGCATTCTTTATGATATTAGTTTAGTGTAAAGTTTAATCTTTTATAAAGTTAATTAGTTAAATTAAAACCTGTGAACACTGCGTGTAAACTTGATGTCTAAACACCATACAGTGTGGTTCAGAGCAGTTCAGTTACTACTGTTCCAGTTTAATTGGTGAGATCTGTTTACACCTCCCAGTCCGGATCAAAGCTGCACATTTGGTCATGTTTCCTCTGCCTGGAAGTATGTTATGATTAAAGACCTTTCAGTCACAAGACTGCTGCATTTGTTAAGCTCACAATAACTTATTTGATTTCAAATTCATATCAGCCTGAGAACGGAGATGGATGTTTTCAGGGGATGCTTTTTATTTCAGGAAAGATGTGTGAACGTGAAACACACATGTAATAGTAAGTTTGGAGCACTTTCAACTGATTCATGTCTTAAAATGAAAGTGTTATATTGGATGTTATGGAAATAAATAATTGTAATTGGTATTTTCATGCAGACTTTTCGAAGTGTGCATTGAAACGGAAACAAAACCTCAGTGTTTCTCAAATATCATTAAATATCATCAGCTGGGCATTTTCAGCCCTCAGGAGTGGTATGGTGGATCTCTTTATTAACAGAACTCTTCTTTTGGCTGCTCCGTTTAAGGGTCACCATATACGATCATCTGCCTCCATTTTACCCTATCCCTGTGCTAAGGATAGCGCGACACAGCGACTGCGGTTTCCTTTAAGGTAAATACATAAAAACATTAACTAATTAGAAATGATAAGCTTAAGCCGGTAATTCAAAAATAATTAAAGAATAATTAAATAATTAGAGTAGGAATTTCAACTAAAATGCTAGTGGCAGAGGTTTTTTTTTTATGTTGTTTTCTTATTACATGCACCTTTAAGAACAGCTGAAAACATGTAAAAATTATAAGCTGTGTCCAAAGCTGTGGTACTGCACACAAGAAACCACTTAAACTTAAGTGATGTGGCACCCAGGATCAATCAAGCTCTGAGTTCAGACTGGATATTTTTTAATAAGAAAGTTAAGATTTTAGGAATAACACAAGGACAAACAGTAGTCAAACGTGCATTGAAATGATGTTGCATGCATGCCGTTCTTACTGTCTGTGCAATATAAATCAATAAGTCACAGATAAATGAGCGTGGGTTTAGGATGACTGAAAGCAGAATGATGTGGTCTCGTCTTGTGGTTGATAAATGTCTGAAGCAGAATGTAGGTGTAGTTCAGTGTACGTTCTTCAAAACAAAGGAACTGTTATATGCAGTGTTGGGTAAGTTACTTTAAATGAGTAACTTAGTTACATTACTAGTTACTTCTATCAAAAGTAACTCCGTTACTTCAAGTTACTTGTTACTTTCAAAGTAACTAGTTACTAGGGAAAGTAACTTTGGTTTTACTCAGAATTCTCTTGTTAATGTGTTTCTTCCATAACTTTGCCAGTCTTCTAGCTTGCT